CTCTGCCATGTCTCTTCCTTGACTAAATTAACCTTCTTCTTGATGTTTTTCAATGTCTCTTTGTACACTTTCCATCCTTCAAGAATGCTTACCTTCTTCGCCCTTTTAAAAACTTTCCGGGATTTTTTCCTTATCATTTCAATGCTCAGGGAAACCAGAGTGAGGTCCAAAACCTTCTTTCTATCACAGGTAATAAAGGTTGGTTGGTTCGTTTCCTCTATTTGATATGTGCATTTGCGTATCCGTACGGATTTTCAGCAGACTTGTGCCTGTTTCATTGTTATTGATGCAGCCTATGTGATGGGCGTTGTCATCGAACCCAATTACCAAGTCAAGTTTTTTATGACGACAGTACTCGATCACCTTTATTATCTCATTTGTTGGTATTTCCTCTTCATGTGATAGATAGATAAAGATGTAACGGTCCTATCTATGAGCTCGTTTGTTATGTCACTGAATCACTGCATCCCGTTAAACTCTGTTTACATCAATTAGTATATTAAACGGCGCCACCTCACCTATTATTTGATTGTCTGTAACGGGGATTTAGTCCGCTACAATATTTAATAACCGAAAGATGCGTAATAGATGACGAAGCGGGCTCATGCAATGACCTTGCACGACCGACCCGGTAGCACAGACTGCCGATGGACTTGCCGGGTAGCACCGGCCCGCGGAGAGCGTCGTGGGTCGCGTCGCTGAAACCGCGAAGGTGTAGGAAACGAAAGGAATGATAGAAGGCGCAGAGTGAAAGAGGCGATAGGTGTGATAGAAAAATATATATATTCTACGTGTATTTGTACAGGGCAGTGCAGAGAGAGAAGCAAAGCGGGTAATGCGAGAGAGACGCAAAGAACGAGTAGCACTTACATCGGCGGCCGTCGTCAGTGAGATTAGCCACGAGGCTCGACAGTAAAAGTTCGGCCAACCGAACGCCAATGCACGCCGCAACCGGTAGCACTCAATCTAGCACTCAATCTAGACACGAGGCGACGCAAATCACAAAACGAATGTCGTCGTCAATGGCACAGCCAAGCTACGAATCCCTCACGCCGTCGCACGCGTGTCACCGGTTCGAGAGGCGTCAGCTAATTGCCTCCCCTTTGTCAAGCAGCACATGTCTTTCACGGCACCCGGCTCGCCCGTCCTACCAACCTACGCGGTCTCTCTCTCTGCTAGCGTTCTCTCTCTTACCTTAGTTCAGCTGCTGTCGTCCGCTGCGGCTGCTAGTAATATAATATAAAAGTAGATACATGAATATGTACATATATTATTGTTATATAATTAATGTGGAGAGAGACATAACGAGTCGATGACAAACTCGTTATATGTCTTAGTACAAGAGTCTAATTTCATGACCATATAAGGAGCTTAATGTCACAGACTGATAGATATAGATATAATATCTTTTGTTATTTTAATAAAATATGTTAATTAGACGTAATTTTGATATAACAAATCATTTCTTATATAGATTTTAGTACATAGATTTAGATTATAATAATACGAATTGCGTTTGATTATTAAATAATAATGAATTTTAATATGCAAAGTTAATTTGTTTATTACACTAGAAATACGAATTATTAGAAAAATGTGAATACTTCATATTGAAAATGAATATCTGAAGAACATGAGTAAGAATTGGTTTCATTAATAACAGTTTAATTATAACTGTTATTAATAAATAAATAATCAATAATTTATTTAAACATTAAGTTGTATATAGAACGATAACGTTAATTTTATACATAATAATGATAGCTTTATAATTTATAAATCATAAATAATTAATCTAGTAATTAGATTATAAGATTATAGAAAAAACCATTACAAATATGAAAATTTGTTATAATTCAAATGTTATTATCTAATTTGAATATTTCTTTTTAGAAATTACTTCTAAAATTAATAAACGATAAAGTTATGTAAAAATTTAATATTGTTCTATTGTAAATATTGTAATATTGCATTAATTAACTTTATTAGTTAATAACTTTTGACGATACTATTTGTGATAATTGTAAATTACACTAAATCGACCAGTAACTAATTTTGTGAAGTTTACATGTGTTGAAACTTTAGTATTGATGTTTATTTACTTGTAAATTAAGAAAATTCATTTCTCAAAATTCGCGAATATCTCTCGAAAATTCGAAAACTTCTCGAAGAGAACTCTCCTACAAAAATAGGCGGAAAAATCTGTATATAAATACGTCCATTATTGCACAGGCTGGTATTTACTCCTAGCCTTGCAAAGTGAGCGCATGAGATTGAATAAACTTGGCTAATTCTTAAGTTCTTTCTCTCATTGTGAAACTTTACTTATATTTGCATATACTTGATTTATCGAATTATTTCATATTGACAATTCGAGTAAATTTGAAAAGAAACGAATTATTACTCATTAACGCGACAAGACCATGAGAGTACGAACTATTAATTATATTATAAGTGATATGAACATCACAAAGGAAACGATTACCATTTTACTACGTCCCTTCTTGCTTTGAAGCTCTTTCCTAATGAATGTCCTGGATCTTAAATCCTGTAACAGAAAACCATCTATACCTTTGACGCTCGTACACTTCCATCATTACTACCAACGAATAGTTCTCGCCTGTTTGGTAACAATTTCCTAATATGACCCTGCCATAATCATGGTTTTTATATTAGTGCTATATATGTCTGAACCCATCCCATGCTACTTGCTAAGATCGTTTTTAGAAAAAAAGAAGCGTTTTTGGATTGGTAAAAATTTATTCGAGTGAAGCCTTTCAGGATAAGAGTCATATCATTTTTTCATCCGCTGTTGCACTTCCTCTTCGCACTTCCCTTCAGTCTCCCTGGCCTGAGGTTGGTCTAGTAACTTAAAGGTAATCTTTCCAACCCCGTCAAAAGTCAAAAATTCGTGTTTCTCAAGGTGATCACCGATGGTTCGTCTAGGCCCAGAATCAAAACGCCATCTGGAATCTGCTTCAGCACCACCCATTTAGTTTTTTCCACCTCTCTATTCTGTTTCTGCTTTAAGAATTTAAAACTTGGAAATAAGTAGGTCTTTAGCTATAGCTGTTGGTTAATCAGCTTCCTTTTCTGTACTACGTTCAGGTGTTGGTTCCTGACTTGCTGGTATCTTCAAGGGATGAGCACCCAGTCCAGATTTTCTCAGGACCTCTCCAGATTTTGGTCTCAGGAGAAGTGCTGATCCATAGGGTTCGCCTGGCTGGTAACCACATCGGGTAAAACTTCATACAGCGAGGTTTCACTTGATATTCCTAGGGAACCATGTACGATACAACCTTTCTTCTCTCTATCGCGCATCCTTTGGCACGGTATCCCATATCTTGGATTAGGGAATTAATTAGATAAAAAGTTATTAACTTGAAAAGAAATGATAAACATTTGTCAAAACTGTATCATAAAAAATACTTAAGGTGAGTCGGGGGAATACGCCACAGTTAAGGAAAAAATCGATCTAAAATGTACATAAATAAATTTAATGAAACTTTAATATGTGGATTTAATAAACATTGCTTTTATGTATTGTATGCATAATAACATATGGCTAAATATTTATTTATTTATTTATTAATAACAATAAATTAGTACGAGTTGAAAGTGGCATATTCCCCACATGTAAGGGTAATATGCCACTTACTAAACAAAGAACTTAATTTTATATAAATACAAAAATAACTCGTAATTGAATATAATTACAATATAACACATATAAATTTTATTAACTACTACTTTTTTTTCTCCTTTGTAATACTCATGCATATAGTAGCGTATCATTTGATTTTATGTAAACACGTGAGTCATAAGTCACATTAAATTCAACTACGCGTAAACAAACATATACATATATATCGTAAATAAAATACGTACTTATATAGCGATGAATTTATTATAAAATTATTTTTTCGATTTCAGGACAAAATGTCATTGGCATATTACCCCAACTCATTTTGTTGTAGTTTGCCCCGAATGCGCTAAAAAATCTTAAAGTAAAAAAAAAATCTTACTTGTTATTTTTTAAAACCTATGCCGTTATGAAATTTTATCAATTTTAGGCAATATACAAAAACTTGTATTAAGAAAAACGTATAACTATGGAAGAAAATAAACCTTAAAGTAGCAGAAAATTTGAGATTATCACCAAGTTTATGAAACTGTGTCTAGAAAGCAACTGAAAACTACGTCGGTATACTGTAGTATTTACGCGTTATTGTCAGCTGTTCATAATAAACTCCTCAATCTTGCTCATATCCATATCTACTTATAATTATAGGAGATATCGCAAAGTGGCATATTCCTCGCACTGGCATATTCCCCCGACTCACCTTATATTTTATTATTAAACGTTACTAATTTTTTTCTTAAACAAATTCAAATATCTTCAAAATTAGTATTTTCTTAATTCTTGCTTTTATACATTCCTGACGGTTTTTTCTAGAAAAAATTGTTATAAAATTCAAGTGCTCGACATTAGAGAACACGCGACACCGAAGACACTCTGCCGTGCGGTAATAAACAAGCCCACGGAAAATATGACATTTTTACGTTAAGATTATGATAATTTAATATAATTATTTAAAAACACAAAATTTTCATTTTCTATTATTTTTTAAAGTTAACTGTTTTGTGGATTTTCCCATATATGAAATTATTAATATTATTTTTATTAATATTAATATTAATTACAATATGAAAATATTTTATTAATATTATTATTAATTAGAATATGAAAATAAATATTAATAATTTCATACATATCAATGATTTTAATGAGTTTTATAATTTTTTATTTTCTTTATTTTAAAATGCGCATCCCTTCAAAATCCCTATAGGTCGGCGCACAAATAGCTGCGCAGTGCACACTGGTATTATTTTGTTTGATAGTCTCATAATTGATGTCTTTTTGAATGTGTCCAAACATTCAATGAACACTCTTCATGTCATTTTGAAAGTGTCAGCATCGTTCTGTAAACACTGAAATTCGGGATAGTAGTACAGTAGTGATTCTGTCTCTGTAATGAACAGATGTTCAGTGGAAATCGTAGTATCCTATTCGATTTTTGTATTTATTTACAACTTAAAAATTCACGAATTTGAAGTGAATTAGTTGATATTTGACTATCAAAATGTATCCTGTAGCACCACGTAAGTATTGAGTGGTTTTAAATATTGCCAAATAAATTTATTTAAGCAATGCATAGAATGGAATAAATGGTAGAAATACATAACATGGAACCTCTAATTTTGTGCCGTTTGGAATACATTAGAGGGTATATGTATGATATAATGATAGAACATTACATTCATCTATGATGCCATTTCCTAAAAAAGAAAAATCAGAGTAAAACTTCAGAGTCAGACTTCAACTTAATATATATATAAATGTGTATATATATATATATATATATATATATATATATATATATATATATATATATATATATACATACATACACACACACACATCATTAAAAGATAATTTTGTAAATTAGTTTTCTTTTTTTATCAAAGCCTTATAAGTTTTATGTGTTATACTACGTTATTGTGACGCGCTTGTCTTTTCCTCATTCCACTTGTCTATATCTATATATATATATACATACGTACATACATACATACATACATACATACATATATGTAGAATTATACCCCTAAAAGCTTAAGGACATATAAAATTAATGTTAATATTTCAATGGTAATCAAATATTTTGTATAGTCCAAAATTGTTTATTAATGATGCCATCTGCTTTTCCCATATTGAAACATATTTATAATATATAACTGAGAATTTTAAGAATAAGAAAAGAAGGGTTGGTATATTTTCAAGGATGATAATTTTTAACTGGTAGTAAAAAGATATTTAAATGCCATCCTCATGCTTGTAATACATTCACTACATATTAAACAACTTCCACTGACAAGCAAAGTTGCTTTTGTTCAAAATGTTGCATTAATATATCAAGCCAAATCAAACATATACCTGATAATTTGTTCAGAAATTTCTTAGATGGCTTTTGTAAAATATTTTTAAGTAATTTTATTCAAGTATGGAATGTAAACTTTATTTTAATATATAGTTTTACTTTGACTATTGCAGCTTCGTCATCAGGATCAACAACGAGTACTGCTGTAGGAGTTACGGGTACTACAGGAAGTAGTGTATTAGCACCAAGTACTTTAGGCTTAGTACCTACTCAACAGGCACATACTCCACCTCAACCACCTGATTTGCCAAGTAAGTTTGTCTTATTATATCTAGATGTTAAAATTTTGTGATTCGATTACTTTTCTAAATATTTTATTTGAATAATTGGCTGCAGTTGAATTAATATCATCACTCTTGAAAAATGAGCATAATTAATTATTATAAAGAACTCAGAAAAAATCAATTAATTACTTTCTATTTTTACTGGATGATATATTTTATTGATAATTCTGTTATCACGTTTTGTTGAAGTGTTCACATGTCCAAGAAGACCTAATATTGGACGTGAAGGTAGAGTCATTGGATTGAGAGCTAACCACTTTCAAATTACAATGCCACGTGGCTATGTTCATCATTATGACATAAATATCCAGCCAGATAAGTGTCCAAGAAAAGTTAATAGAGAAATAATTGAAACTATGGTTCATGCTTACACAAAAATTTTTGGAACACTCAAACCTGTCTTTGATGGTAGGAATAATTTATATACTCGTGATCCTCTACCTATTGGTACTGATAAATTAGAACTAGAGGTATTTCTGATGAATTATTTTTTATATTAAATAGTATTTTATATTATAATATTTATGAATATTTTATATTTACTCGTAACTTTCTTTAAAGGTTATCTTGCCTGGAGAAGGTAAAGACAGAGTATTTCGTGTAGTCATTAAATGGGTTGCACAAGTTTCTTTATTTGCATTGGAGGAAGCATTAGAAGGTCGAACAAGGCAGATTCCATATGATGCTATTCTGGCTTTGGATGTGGTGATGAGACATCTGCCTTCTATGACTTATACACCTGTTGGAAGGTCTTTTTTCAGTAGTCCAGACGGCTATTATCATCCTCTTGGTGGTGGTAGAGAAGTGTGGTTTGGTTTTCATCAATCAGTGAGACCCTCACAATGGAAAATGATGTTGAATATTGATGGTTAATATTAAAAACTTGGATGACATGTCATAAAATTTTTTGATTAAATAATTTTTTTAATTTATTTTAATTTATTAATTTTTATTAATTTGTTAATTAATGAAATAAATTAATTATATTAATTTATTTTACTATTACAGTATCAGCTACAGCTTTTTATAAAGCACAACCTGTTATTGAGTTTATGTGTGAGGTTTTAGATATAAGAGATATTAATGAGCAAAGAAAGCCTTTAACTGATTCACAAAGAGTGAAATTTACAAAAGAAATCAAAGGATTGAAGATTGAAATTACTCATTGTGGTACAATGAGAAGAAAATATAGGGTTTGCAATGTTACTCGTAAACCAGCTCAAATGCAGTCGTGAGTTTGTTTTTCTATGTACAGTTCATAACAAACTTTTATCTTTTAAATAAAATAAATATATTCTAGATTTCCACTACAGTTGGAGAATGGACAAACTGTTGAATGTACTGTTTCCAAGTACTTCTTAGATAAATATAAAATGAAATTACGATATCCTCATCTCCCTTGCCTTCAAGTTGGTCAAGAGCACAAACATACATACTTACCACTCGAGGTAATTAATTTTAGCTATTGAATTTTCATATTTTATAATTAATATAAATTATTGTATATAATATTTAGATTTAATCACAAAGTTTCTTACTAATATTGATGATGAAATTATTTTAACTATCATTCTCGTTAGGTAGTAATTAAGAATAAATTTGCTATAATCATAGAGGTAGAAAAAGAATCTACTGTAACAAATACGATTAATATAAGAAAGTTTTGCTTTGTATAAAATTCTTGTTCTTTCGAAGATAGTACAATCTTAGGTAATGTAGAAGGTAGAGAATTTAATGAGATTTAAAAATGCGGAACTTAAACATTAAATATCATTTGAATTTAGAAGCTTTATTGAACATATTAAATTTAAATAACAGTGTTTTGCTGAATATTAATTCAATAGGATGTTTTGATTAATTGGGGCGTCTTTTGCTCTAACTCTGCTGTGTTTGCAGTACTGCAAAAGAAATACAGATCAATTTTTTTCTTAATGGTTTATTTATGTTGTCATTATCTGACGCAAAATGACGTAGACGCGAATTTAATGAGACTATTCGAATATGCGATGAACCATGGATTACTGTTATAGTAATTACCATTTAACTGTAACACTTATACTAACTCAATTTAATTTTAATGTTATTCAAGACGTGGAAAGTACCATACAGTGAGTGTTGTCCTTACCTGGGAAAAGTGTTTGTTTGAAAAGTCTCAATTCTCTGTCGAGGAAGACAATAATAATCCGCCGCTTTGACAAAAAGATTTTGGCACAAAGTTACCTGGCCAGCCGCGAGGCTGGCCATATGGTGAACTATGTGTGCATCATCTATGTTTTTGTTAACCGGATCGTAATCGAACTTCCTGAGAGCGTCCTGATTGTAACCGCCTCAGTATTTTACAGCAAAAGTTGTGAAATTTTTATCCATACTTGAAAACCCTGCTGGATAGGAAAATCGATTTTCATTCATTATTTTCAAAATGGCAGCCGAAACAGAAAAATCATCAAAAGT